TTAGGCGCAATTTATCTTTTTAATAGTAAAAACGTTTCAGGAGCTACCATAATGGTGAAATACATAATAAAAACAAACATATCCATGGACGCAGCTGCATTGGATGCCTTCAAATAGCACACTGACATGAAAATTGTCCCTGATAAGCAATTCGCCGGATTGTGCAGTTCATTTGTCTTCAACCAAAATGTCATTAGTGCCACTTTTAGAAAGGCACCGGTAGCTATGAAATACCGACTTTGAAATAACATATTCGCCAGAGCAGTAGGTTAGTTAAGGCTACAGAACTGACAATGAAACTGCTTCCTTCAAAAACAGTTCTTCATGACTCTGTAATACATGATCGAGGCAGCAAAGTGGTCAAAAATAATACCACATAAGCTTCCTAGTACAACCGCAGGTAGAGCATATTTGAGCATTCATTAGAAATATTTTAACGTCATTCGCTTTCAGAGGAAGCCTAATAGACTAAGACGTAAGACAAAAAAGGTAATGTATAGGACTTAATGAAGACAATAGGAATACATCAAATACGTGTAACAAAATCATATAAAATTTTCTGTCAGCCTTTTAGAGTAACTATGCACTCAAAACAAAAAAGACCAGCGTACAAAAAAATGTTAGCATTTTAAAGCCAAAACAAAACAAAAACGCACAAAAGGATTTAACTGATTTCACCACTTTTTTGATAAATGAGTAAAAAAGATCCAACTAAAAGGCTTTTACGTTATCTTTGTTTTTATGTCGCTAGGTCTGTATTGATGAAGATAAACACATTAATCATTGGCTAGCATTTATCTGTTAAACCAAACATCAGAACCACCGCAAACATCGGCGGAAATTGAATAGAGAAAGCCAATTTTGTCATGTGCATGTGCACGAGCCGCGTGAGGCATTCGGCACGCGCCGCTCGACGTGCACGAGGCGTTGCTGTTCACGCGACATTATTTATTTTTCATGAGGTAAGTTTCTTTGACTGAAATCCTTTTCCCTTTACTGGAAGTAGCTATAAAAAAGTTCTCAATTTGCTTTTATATTTAGTGTTTATATTTACAACCCTTTGTGTTTTAACAAATGGTTGACGCACCTGATCAAGTTGGAAAACGAAGACAGAATGTTGCACAATGCTGCGATGTGACAATGCCCTCACGTGCGGAAAAAAGCGAAGTTGAGTAAGGGTTAAAGTGTGCCTGATTTAGTTTGAAAACTTCCACAGCTTGCTTGTCTCCACGTAATTTAAAGCAAAGTTTAAGGGACGGAAAGGGACGGAGGTCAAAGGTTGCAAAAAAAAGAATCACTTATAAACTGTACCATCTAAGAAAATGCACAGTTCTAAACGAAGATTTCTCAATTTCCCTTGTATTTCGCCGAGGTCCATTCGCCAAAGTAAATTACAACTGAGTCTTTCATTGTAACTTTAATGTCAACATGACCACATCGATGCAGAAGTTTTTACACGGGAATCATTGACGATCATATGATTTTTGCTTACAGGAAAACAGCTTTTTTGTGGGTCTTGGGAGAAGAACATACAGAGTTCTAATACATTGTTGATTGCTCAAGTTTACTTGCTTTTTAAGTTCCATTTGGAAGGTGAAAATTATTACACAGTCTTTTACTGACGTATTATTGTCCACTTGAATACCTCAATGAAGACATTTTACACATTTTAATATCGGAAGTACGAAACATCATGCATTGCTGCAACAAAGTTTTATTGGATCTTGGTCTGTCAAAGGACAAACAAGGTTACTGTAATTGAAGTTAAGTGTCAAAGTTTATTAATATACCGGAAAAAGTCTAAGAATGAAAATGACTTATGTGGCTGATAAATATTAAAACTGACGTATTTGATTTCCAGCTGTCCTCGGCTTCTTTTTTTGTCTTTTTTCCTATTTTTTTTTCTTCTTCCTCCTTTTGGATGTTTTCACCTTTTTTCTCGGTTTTCTCTACCTTCATAAAAAAGAAGCGATAATGCCACAAAGATTATTTGACTTGCCCATATCCTTCAACCGTGTAAGCAAGCAAATGCACTACATTATTACGTAAGGAAAAAACTCTACAGCTAAGTAGCTAGTTAAAATGTTTTGTGAGGCTTAAACCTGAACTCCCGCCCTCGCACAAAAATATGAACCCCGTGTTTATGGTGGAAAATTATATTAAAATACATTCATGGACTTCACAGAGGAAATGCAGTTTAATTTACGATTTTATTCATCTTTATTTTGTTTCATAGGTTGATAATGTTTAACCCCCCTCACCGTATAAACAATTCTACATACGGCCCGCAAAATTAATTACCAGTTTATCTTTTCTTTCTTTTGACGAACCGGCGAGAAGGCCTAGGCATGCAGCTTCTTCTAACCTTATCTTAGCACTTTGCAAATATATTGGGTTTAAGTTGGGTTTATAAGGCTCTATCGCATCCAGTGTTTCTTAATTTTACTGTATTTAACCAAAAAGAAAATGAACTTTGCCATAATCTGTTTTCAACAGTATTTTCAGTTCCGTTCAAACTAAGTTTGCATCTACCATCAACGAAAGACTAAAAAACGACCTACTGTATTGTAAAAGAACCAAGCCAACCTTTTCTTTTTTTTTTTAATGAATCGCCTACACGCCTTATCTTTGATGCCTAAACAGATAATATTGGGGGATATAATTTTACCAATGTGTGCATGCTCACGCTGTGTCTGTTACGTAACAGTACTAACAGTGAATGTAGGAAACTTTTATAAGATCGAGAAACCGAAATCGTCATTTAATCGAAAGAATGAATGAAACATGATTTGAAAAAAAAATTGCTTTCTGCGCTTTAGCTCTATTCATTTTTGTTTTTCTGCCTGTTTGTTCTGACATTCTGTAAAACTACCGCTTAAAAGCCCTGGGCTTTTTAAGGCATGTTCTAAGGGGTTTTAAGAGGGCTTTTAAAACGGACGAGCTTATATCCGAGGGGGCTTGTAACCTGAATAGGAAAAGCACTTCAAAACAAGCTCTAGCCGTGCTGATCAAAATACATTTTGCATTTACTGGTTTTTAATTAAGTTTTAAAAGGTCATAAAAATCGAATTCATTCGATTTTTATGACCCAAGTTGGCTTGTTATTTATCAGGAGGAGCTAATAATCGAAGAATGCAAAAGCAGGGGAAATAAAACCCAGAAAGCCATAAGGGAAATCAAAAGGAAGCGAAGCAAAACAAATTAAACACAAGCTGTTTTTAATTCATTTACTAATTCGTGTTTTTCGTTAGATATATTTCAACTATGGGTGTTTTTCAACATAAATCCTTTTTTTCACTGTCATGTTATACCGACATACCGTACGCAGATGCTTGGGAACTTTGACTGTGATATTTCGGGGGAGGTTACTTGCGGGTAATGAGCACAGGGAACAAAACAGAGAATGAAGTTACCGACGGAGCTAGGGTTTAAATTGGGTTTTGTTGGCATTTTTACATTTTCCGGTTCTCCGTTCCCCGTTCCCTGTAACCTCCCATAAAGCGCTACTATACATATGTCATACCAATAGCATAAGCAAATTCTCATTCGACTGAACAATGGCTATACGGCAACTTTCTCATTTAGCTAGGATTTGTTGCTTATTGCTAGGCGTAATCCTCATCATAATCCTCCTACATAAAATTTCTAAAGTTTAAAATTATTTTAGGATTAAAATTTAATCCTCCTACATAAAATTTCTGATCAATTTTGTTCTGTTTTTCTGTCGGCCGACCGCGATAACTAATAGAAAGCTTTAGCAACCACGTCAAAGATAGCAGCAAAAACGTTCCTTTTTAAAATGAATCTGATTCGCATTTTTTCAAACTTTGTTGCGCTCATTCTTATTCGCTGAAAATGTCAAATGTAGGCGAAGGTCCCTGGAGTTGATTTCTGTGGGGACCGCGCCCTGGTTCATCGCCGCTTGTCTACGCCCTCCATAAAACGTGAAATGACTAGGCATTTTCCCGTCGATTGTAGCCGTATAGTGACGGCAAAGAAATGTACAAAAAAGTGTGATGCACGTGCAAAGTTGTTGTTTTGCTTAATAAAGCTTTTATTTTTTTTTTTTGACGTTCTCATTGCCATCGCCGTCGTCGTAGCTAAAGTTTCCTGTTTCCGCGAAGCAAGTATGCTAGTTAGACAGTAGGAACGAAGCTCCCTTCACGGCTAGTTTGCTGTCTCTGGAGCCTGAGCGGTCCTTCCAAGCTTAGACTTGACAGACTGAAAATTATCAGTAGAAACTTCTTGCAGTCTAATTTGTCAAATGTTGGAGAAGTTTCCTGATAGAAAATTCTTAAGGACTGTATCCTCATAAAGCGCAGCGTGGCATTAGGAAGTTTCACCTCATTCTCTCTTGGTTTCCATGATTCAGGTGTAGACCTGTTATTTTCAGTGCTCATAATACCAATTCCTTGTTGAATTTCTCGTTGACACTGTCGTCTTCGTAGCCGACGTAGCATAAGTGAAAGGGGAAGGGAGAATTACGGCCCGCTAACACAGAGTTTGTTTTGGAAAACTTCTGGGCCTGGCATGAGATAGCTCATCTGCCTCTTACCCAGATGTCTTCTTCGCAATGTAAATTTGTGCGCAAAGGACGATGAGAAAAATAAAACTTCGCCTCTGTTTTACTTAGCCTTCTTTATTTTTGCCTTGGTCCCTCGCGTTTCCTCACCGGTCACTCGCGTTTGTTGCTCGCCTTTGTTTGCACCAAAGAGAGCGAAAGACAAAGCGCCTGATGATGATGATGATGAGGAGGAGGAGGAGGCAGACTTCGCACAGCTTAGGGCCATAATTCAACAGAAACAAACTCTGATTTAGCTCGAACGGATGACATTGTTGCGTTCGTGGAATGACAAAGACAAACTTTTTCATTTCGTTTGATTTCAGGATATTCAGCTCCTTAAACGTACATACTCTGAATGAATTGCTGGAAAGACGGAACTGTATGGTGCTTTTCCTTTAAACTTTATAAAGCTTCATGAAAACCCGATTCATATACAATGTGCGGAAACGTATCTCAGCTAAACTGTTCTGAAACTAACGCAGACACTGAAGACAGTTGGAAACTTCAGTTGAAGGTTGAGGATATCATTATGGCAGGACTTTTCAGTGTATTGGCCGTTGTCACTGTTACAACTAATCTTCTGGTACTTGCCTCATCAATTTCTATGAACCAACGTCTGCGATGCCCCACATATCTCCTTATTTTATCCTTATCAGTAGCTGATTTGACAGTGGGACTATTGTTACTTCCAACTCGAAGTATTGAGCTACTCTCGTACAGTTGGACAAGGCAATTTATCTGGTGTAAAGTGACATTATGTCTCAATCTGTTCAGTCTGAGCGCTTCTCTGCTAAATCTCTTGGCAGTGACGTTTGACCGATTTCTTGCCATCTCCTACTCTTTAATGTACAACACCATGATAACAAAACAAAGAATGTACGCAACGATAACTGCTGTGTGGCTGACTGCGTTCTTCATAATACTATTCCCGCTATGCGGTGTTGGAATAAAGCCTTCGGAGGATTACCATCCCCAAAGAGTATGCAGCTATGGCGATCTACTGGAAAGAAAATACCTGGCTCTTTTCTTTGTCTCAATCTGCACAGTACCAACCATGATTATAACTGTGGCGTATTTTAAGATCTTTGTCCTTGCGCGCAGTCAGGAGAGACGGATAGCGTCATTACAGGTGTTTGTGGACAGAGGCTTGGCGCAGTCTGCGGTTAGTAGAGGGGATGGTCTTAATAGGGAGTCCAAGGCTGCTAAAACAGTAGGTACGATTCTTTTAGATCTGTTTTCAGACAACTACTGGCCTGCAAGCAAATAGGTCTTTGAGGGTCTCTGGCACAAGCACATAAAGTGTTTCTTGATTTCACTCATTTAGTTCTTTTCCGTCAAAAGAAGCCTCAAGACTGAGCTTGCTCGCAAGCTACAGACCAACAGACTATACTTCATGCCTTTTTAGGGAATTTGAGTCGCCTTTAACTCAGTAGGTGTCTCTCTTCCGACACCAACTAAAAAAAATCAAACAAACAAATCAAAGCTCAACTCCGTGGTCCTTTTTCCTTAGTTCAATCACAAAGGTAATTGAAAAATTATCATCAGTATCACAAACGTGACAGTGCCAGCATACTTTGCTTTCCCATTGCATCGGTTTAAACTACGGAGCCACAAACTTAGCACTAGGATGTCAGTAAGAACTAAATGCTATCGGAGTTGCTGCCAAGAGTCGAGAAAAGGGTGGACATTTATTCACAGAAAATTTGCACTGATATCTACCTCGTTCCCAGTCGCTAGCGATCTTAGGGGGTGAAAGGAGTGATGGGAAGGATCACTCCCTGTTCGCGCTCTGCGCCCGTTCCCATGATCCCCCTCTCGCGCTTCCCACTTGACTCTAGTCCTCTCGCTTCTCGCTTGTTCCGTGCTCCCTCTAAGCCTTGGGAAAGTTTATGGAGGAGGCAGCACCGGCGGATATCTCAAGTTAGGAATGCCAAAAAAGATCACCAATGAAACGTGAGACTGACTCAGAGAGAAGGAACCTCTTCTCTGAGGTTTCGATAACTGTGACCACCATGGAAATGATGAGTGCGGACGTGATCAAGCTGAATGATGACATTTTCTCTCTAAGTTTTTGGGAAGAAAGAAATAGTCTTTGATCCCAGCCGGGCGAAAACTCATATAGTTTAGATTTTTGACTAACTTTATTAATGTTTTAAATCTTAAAACTGAAACTTTCTTCTTTTACTTTTTTTCTTAAAGCAATCGTCATCGGTCTGTTTTATCTCTCCTGGAGTCCATTCTTCGCTATCATACTCTTGGCAATATTCAGGAATGAGGCTCCGCCTTACGCCTTTGTTTCTATCACAACCTTGATGGTGAGCTCAAATTCTGCCATCAACCCCCTCGTTTATGGCTGCCTCAATCAAGATTTTAAGATCACGTTCAGGAAAATTGTTCATTCCTGCCGAACTCACATCCTGAGGAAACACAAGCTCTCGCCTCCAATCGCTATGGCAATAAAGAAGTCAGAAAAACAGACCATCACGGCTACTATCCCAGCCACGCCCCTCGAAACGGTTGCACGAAGTAACCATTCAGTTTTCCTCTTCTGATGCGTCAAATGTTGTTCGTAATGGGAGGAAGTGACAAAGGAAGCAATGCCGCTCGGCGGGAGACTGATTGGGTCAAACGTCCTCCCATGAAACAGTTCTAATGGCTTGGATGTTTTGTTTTCCCAGTGAGGGGAAGGTCTTTGGGAAATTTGTCCCTTTGTCTTTTCATAAATTATGCGTACATATGCACATGGATAAGACAAAATTTGAATGAAACAGTTCTCCAGCTTGATTTTCATGACTTTCATTGGGAAAACAAAACATACAAGCTACAGAGGTCTATTCGACAGAAAAAGGAACCATTCTCGTGTGCCACGGTCGATACGATTCATAACATAAATAGGCGAAGTTCCAGGGATAATCAGACATATAATTTCCAATTTTTTTTATCAGATCAGGAAGGTGAAGTTAGTTGCAACATTATAATGTATGCATTAAAGATTACAATACTTGACTTGCTGGGTTGTTACGAAAATCCAGTTAGGTCTATCGGACTGATTTTCATATATATATACATTGCAAATAAGAACACATCCGCCTCAGACCCTCATATACTATTCATACGATAACCTCGTTATTACGAGCACTGATTCTTTTGGCCCAAATGCAGACTCCTCTGGCCGAAACGTATACGTTAATCATTTTTTTCTGACCTGAAAGCCTTTTTAATACGATTTTAGCTAAAGGGACTCTTAAATTTTTTATGGCCATTGGGTTGTCTCAATTAATAACTGGGCCACTGTACAGAATTATCATAGAATTCATATTCTTAGTGAGGAATAAATTTGAGAAACAAAGGTTGTCTGTACCACTGGCTTTTTCTCAATGATGATACTCTGCTGAAAGCAATCTTCTTTCAACCCAAATATTCTTTAGTGTAAAAGCCAGTTCACCATGCATCTTGCGTTGAGTGCACGACAAATAATCAGGAAAAAAATGCCGCAAAAGGAAAGGACAGTATAGCGCGTGACTGTGGTGTTCAGCTTTCAGATAATTCTTTTAATGAAGAATCTTTGAGCTTTGAAATTACCGTTGAAGTTGCCACCATCCTGCTTGGATTACCCATCATGCACTCAAAGGAGTGAGTCTTTTACAAAGGCTTAGTTTGTAAAGGTGCTACTTCAGCACCTAACATTAAAAAGAAGCGATTCTGCCGCTACTGATCCTCGATAATGGCAGGAGAATGACGATCGATCGACTGAATAATTAACTTATTGAGTGGTAATGCTGGAAACATTCACAATGGGTGAACTAATTGATCAATTTACCGAGATTTTTTGCATTAAGAGCTACGGGTGGGTTTTATAAAACTGAACTGTTATACAGGGCGCGTTCGATTGACCGGCGTATTCCGAGATTAGAGTACATGGAATAAACTCTAAAATTTCTTGTCTTAGCTTTCATTGTACAAACTAAACAAATACAGCTGATCTGATTGAAATTAATAATTATGATGAATGTAGGATTCCAATGGTCCAAAAAGATGTAGCCCAAGGGATTTCTCAAAAATATTGTTATTTGTAATATGATCAATGGAACACACCCTAGGTATAGATAAAAATGTAGTATTCTTCCCTATAACTGTTTAAAAAGAGCAATATAAATTTGGGACTAGAGAAATACAATCCTAGGGCAAGATTAGTAGCCATGGGAGCCCGGGGAAAACCAAAAATGAAAGAAGTTTTTTTTATTTTTGTTTGTTGTAGTTTCAAAATAATATTCTCCGGCCAGGCTAATGCCACTGTCACATTGTAGAACTACTGACAACAATTCAGAAGGTAACTGATTTCCTCCGAAACGAACCAGTCCGTTTGATTAGCCCCTCCTTCATTTTTGACAAAGAAGAAGGTGGGTGTCTTTTGTCCGTTATGCAGTTCTTTTCATTTCGTAGAAACTGTCTGACCGAAGTTTGCAGTATGTCTGCCACCTCTTTGTATCCATCGCACGAAGAAACAGAAATCTCGTAAAATGGACATTCTAGTTCTTGTGATAAGTCACTTCCCTCTGTTTCATCGATCTCTCGAAAATGTTCCAAGTCTCTTTTTGTTGCAATGAGTATCAGCATGACTGAGTTGCCATTTGTTTTGCGTACTCTGATATGTCTTCCTATCCGTGTGGCTTCTTCAAAACTTGCACGGTCAGTGATGGAGTAGAGGACAAGAAATATATCACCACGGGCTAAACAGCAGTTTAACTTCGTTTCTGAGTTCTGTAACAATAATTATAAGAGAATAAAAAGGTATGATGGTGATGTTACACGGGACGATTCGAAACGACGATTTTAGCGCAACACGGCGTTGCAATGTTGGAACAGTGTTGTAACTATTCAAAACAATGTCGCAACAATGATGCAACGCTGTGTTGCGCTAAAAATCGTCGTTGCGGATCGTCTCGTGTAACATCACCTTAAAGTAAGTCAGTTTTTTTTACCTTGATAAATTATTTCTCTAAGTGTTTGTTATTTGTTTTATCAGCCATTAAGTGGAAAGATCAAAACACACACTCAGTTCTTCCCTTTTTCCTCCAAAAGGAATTAAACCCCAGGATGAAAAAAAGGCGTGGTTCGATTGTCCGATCGGTAGTCCACTGTTTCTGTGACTTAAGGTGATGTTACACGAGACGATTCTCATAGACGATTTTTAGCGCGACACAGCGTTGCAACATTGTTACGATGTTGTTTCGAATTGCTCCAGCATTGTTCCATCATTGTAACGCTGTGTTGCGCTAAAAATCGTCGTTGCAAATCGTCCCGTGTACATCTCCTTTAGAGTTGGTCCATTGTCGTAATCAGTTGTTTTCCTTTGATCCGGTTTACAAGGCGGACGCTAATCTACGGGCAAGCTGGGTGTATGAATTAGGTTTCTTGGTTTCTTTTCCTTGATAACCGCTCTTCTCACAGAGGAGATTATTCTGACAAATGAAAAGTCTGGCAGTTTATGAAAACTGAATATATTTTAGTTGTTGGAATACTTTAAGAATGAGAAACAACCGCGGCATTTCTGACAGATCGTTACTGTTGCACTATACAAGGTCAGTGACAAAGTTAGACTTGACATCAGTTCTAAAAAAGTTCAGCACTTTTTAGACCTTTTAGTCCTTGTTTATGGGCGGTAGCCTTTGTAAAGATGTAGTTCAAACCTCTCCGAAAGTCAGTCAGTGAAATGAGCAAAAACTGAAGTTGTTATGCTGGGGAACGGGTTAACACACCTCTCCTGCTGTATCCATTAAGTCAACGTAGATGTATTCATTATCCAACTCCATATGATGCCGCCAAGTGGACTCTGATTGAAAGATAAGAGAAAAACGAATTCGTTATTTAATTACTCTTATTGCTGACTAAATGATTATCTTAGAACTGCTGCCTGTAGTATAAATCATAATCAATAATTATTTCATATGTTATCAGCGGGATGTATTGGTGGCTACTGCGCAAGTACCACAATACCAAGTCTGCCAAAACTGTCAACTGAATACCTGCGCAAGTGCACGCTTGATAGTGCTGTTCACTCGAAGTAGCCATGCATGCGGTGATGATCAAATTTTTAGGCGTGGCAATTACAGAAGAACCCTTGCGATCATGGCTCGCACCAATTGGCGGCAACTTTAGCAAGTTAAAGACGCCTTTTCCCCTTCGATTAGACTATAACCTGTTTTGGCGAAAGCGAATGCAGCCTGAGAAAAACGACATACCTACCTAGAGTCTGGTCGTATTCCGTGATAAATCTTCGGGTAAGGAAACGGACTATGAGAGCTGCAAATTAAACGCAAAAAGATTGAAATATTCCAAAAACGTAATAGGTTTTATTTTTTCTCTCGGTCCGATATAATAGCTTAGGTCTCATAATAGGTTAGATAGGATCTTTGTATTAACACGCCGTAGGGTGCCGTAAAAATTGGACTTATTTTTATACGGTCGTTTTTTGCTACTCAAACTAAAATCCCAATGTGTAAACTACTGGCGCAAAAGAGCTACATACTGAACACATTCCTTCGCTTTAAAATTAAATCAAGTTGGTATGGATTTTACAGGAAAGACCTATAATTAAACTGTTTGTTGAAAGATCGATAGCAAGTTGTGCTGAACATTCAGGTCCATCTGGCTGCCCACATACTTGAAAACAGGAAACACTGGTTACATAACAGTCAGTTGAACTTTCAAAAATATTTTGAGTTTATAGAAGCACGTGATCAAGTGTGCCTCATCAAGAAATAGCGCAATTTTAGCTTCTGAAGCTCAAAGTCTCGAGAAGATCGGTGTTCAGAGAAGCGTTCGTCAAATCAAATTCAAATGTTTTTACTTTAACAATTAGAAACACGAAAATAACTTATACCAAATTATCTTTGCCATCTATGTAAATATGAAATAATTAAAATACATTGGATAGTGCAAGTTTAGTTGGTTTTCTATTATTAGAAATAAAGAATCGAGCTAGCTACTTGCAGAAAACCCGTGACAGGCCTACGTAGCTTCCTTTTTTTATTAAATTCAACCGTAGGTGATAGGTTAGAAAGCAAACTTTACTCGAACCTAAAAGTTGTCAAATAAATAAATACGGGTGAAGACATCTTCTGTTAGTAGAGACCTTAAACTTTGCTAGTAAGGGTTAAAAACCGGTTTCTGAACATGTAAAAGACTTTGCCATTGCTATTTTACAACGGTTGTTCTCGCAGAATTTTGAAGAGGTGCTTTTAGACAAACTTTGTTCATTGAACAAATAAAGAATTTTAAAAACTGTTTCTATTCTTTATTTACTTCCATTAATCCTTTTGTTTTAAAAGGTACGCATATTTGCGCTGCTTTGGTTGCCCATATACACAAAAAAAAACCACAATGGACAGTTAACAGTAGGATAACACATTCTTTCTATTTTTAAAGGTAATTTGCTCTGTTGCTGTTGAAATGACCGCGCGGTTGTTCAGTATACAAACTTAGTTTGTTCAAGTGTGGAGCTTAGTAAAAACCCACTTATACTCAGGTGTTTTTAATTTATTACCAGTTCCTTTCACCGGTGCAGTGATGCATTTTAAATTATTTCAAATTTCAGATTTTCTAGACCTCGGACGTTTGTTTATCTTCTAAGTTACACTACTGTATCCGATAAATCCAAACTGTGGAAGTGTGCTGTGAACACGCTTCGAGTTGTTCACTCGCGCGTGTATAAAACGATTAATCTTTCAGTGAAGTGAGTATTGCGCATAAGCAAATCTAAATCCCTCGGTTTTGTGTCTTATAATGATACCTAATGAACTAAATAAACAACTCCAGTTGTTGCCTCAATTAGTATGTGATTTATCTAATTGTTTAGTGAAGTTAAGTTATATGCATCCTAAAATGGGAAAAGTATAATTATTTTTAAGTTGTTGTTTGCATGCCGGAACTCTCTTATTCTTAGTGAGTAATAAAAGACTTAAAACACTTGACTTTCAAGTGGATATTTCTTTTTATAGCAATTCATGGACACGGAGAGGGGAAAATTGTACTTGGTGCTGATTAGATAATAAATGATCTGCCGCTCATACCCGATAGTGTGAAAAGGCCAGTTCACGAAACATCGGCAGATAACTAACTTAACTACTAACTAACCAGTAAATACCTGATTTTCCAACGCCATCTTTGCCTAATACCACAGCCCTTGTAGCTTTGAAATTTGGTTGATGACTTGTCTTTCTTTTCCGCATGTTGTCGGCGTTGTTTTTAGTTTATTATCAACAGGAAAACACCATCGAATGGATTCCGTGCTGAAATATCTATGAGACAGAAACGGAAATAAAGCTATTAGCTGTTAGTCGTTTTAAAGTTTAGTGGGAAAATGTTTTGTCGAATATAACAGTGGTCAAATATTATCAAGAATATCAATAAAAGCAAAATAACCATAATCTGCAATGTTCCAAAAACAAATTAATTAAAACAAATTAGAAGAAAATATAAACAAGCCTGGTTTGTTTTTCAAGAGTTTGACTTCATAAATTTGGCTTTACGATAAACGCACGGCTGTCTATTGCCTCTCCCAAGCATGTAAAATCGCTAAACGTCTACTAATCTTCAAAATCCGCTGTCTATTGTGTGTGCCCTTTTTAAAGTGATGTCTCGTTAGTTCAGTGAACCCGATGTACTCTTTAAGAGCCACTCGACATTATCTCCTCTGTCGGGATTTTTGACTGTGAACCAACCCAACATCAAACAAACCCTTACTGCAGCAATAAAGGTTCACTGCACCAGTTTCAATTCGTGGCAGTGAACTATTTGTTTGCAAGCGTTTTTTCGTTAGTCGCGGTCTCATTAATAACTAAAATGATATTTCGCATCATAAGAGCCTGATGTTAACCTTATCACTCCCTATTGACCGCAAAACAAAAAATATAAGTACCTTTCTGCGGACGTATGACTGCCTCTTCAGTACAATGAATGTACAATAGCGAAAATTCTACACATGAAGAATCGGACGCTTGTAACGTAAATTAAGCAGCTACTTCTATTTTAACTCTTTTATGTCCTCTAAAAACAGCACAGTATAACCTGTCATCTGCGTGAAACAATTCAGCTGTTTCTATTGGCTAAGCTCGCCGACCGAGACAAATGAAACACCTCAAATTGCTCGGGTTAGAATGCTTAAGGATTGTGTTCATTTTGTTGTATTATGTTGCGTAAATTTTAAAAGAATGAATAAGTTTAAGACGCTAATTAAAATGATTAAGACTTTGGTGTTTAGATTAGGACCATTTGGGATATGGGTTGACTAGAGATTCATTTGATTTCCCATCCCACTATTTAACCAGTTCAAAAAACATCACTTTATGATAATTCTGGTCTGTTCGTTGAGATCAATGTAACGATTAGAGACTTTATAGTGAGTGTAACTGTATGGGCTGAATACGTTTCACACCTGAGTTAGCAGACTAAGGGAACCTTCTTATTATTTATTTAGCTTAGAGATTGTTGGTACGGGAAGCCTGAATTGTCATTATAGGCGCGCACTTGTGCGGCTTCTCCATTATTGACATCTTCAAGTAATTTCGTCAATAACCTTGAGTGGAAAGCGGAAGACTAGAGGAGAAGAAAGATAGAAATTCCGAGAAACGCAGCAACATTAGTGATGGTGTCGTAGGATTGTAGATCGCGATTCCTGCTAGTCTGTTCTGACCTGTTAGTGTAGTATTGTTCCACCCTCTTCTCCTTGCCTTCACTAACCCAATGTTCCTCAAAAATTCTGATTTGACATTTTGAATTTAACACTTGAATTCCCCTACTGAGTGGCTCACGGGCTTATTAATACGTATAATGAAATAAGACCTTTTTTACAAGAAGCGAAGAATGCCAGCAGAGGCCTCTTTTCTCTAATACCAGGGAAAAGAGACCTCCGCCAGCACGAAAGTTCCGGTGTTAGTGTATAAAGCCTGTATTTCAAGTTGGCAGTTTCAATACCCACCCATGATGACTAAAAGGTTCGGTTCAAATCAGGGCGGAGAACAGAGAGAATTTTACTGCATACTCACGGGCTGGCATTTCTTGCTTTTTACAATATCGAGACGCATACAGACTTCATCCAAAAGCCGGTACGAATACGAAGAATGTTAACGAGATGATAAAGATATAACATGCTTACGACCGTCGTACGACTAATAATGTGTTCACACACGAGTTTCATTTCTTTTATCAGGAACGCCTGTTATTTGGTCTAATTAGAAAGGATAAAAGAACAAACTTGGCTTTTTTTTATGAGAAATGCAGGCTGTTCTAAGAGATTGTATTATATATTGAGCAAGCGTTGACTGACACATAGATTCTGCGTCGTGGATTCAAAGAATAAGTTAATGTATATTTTTGTGCTTAGTTCATAGGACTATGAAAAGATACCATTAATCAATCATCATTATTAGAACACTAGACTCTGGTAACCATGTTACTAGCGAGTGGAGGTGCGGCCTGAATCACAATTACTTGCCAACTAAATGGTGGATATACGGGTGTGTAAGTGCTGCAAGGTAGGAAAAGAGCCGACGCGGGAAAAAGCGACCCAGTCATTTCCTTTTCCCGTTCTTTTACATCTTCCCGTCTTCTTTTCCTTTTGTTGTTCTCCTCCTCTTCCTTCTTCTTTTCTGGTCTTGATGACTAAAAACACAGCCAATCGAGCGACCAGCCTAAAACTGAAGCCCGGGGGTTACTTCCTCATAAGAGGCTAATGGGGATGTGCCGCTGGATGGGGTCGCATTTTTACGACTGGATTGACTACAATGGGGTCGCATTTTCAACAGAGTTACTAGAATGGGGTCGCACATTTTCGGATTTTTTGGGGTAAGACAGTTCTTTATATTTACGGTTAGGAAAGCTACCAGAATGTTTGTACTGTAGCAAATTAAAGAGTTCTTTATTTAGTTTAAAAAATGGATCAATTCATAAAAATAGAAAATGACCAAATTGGGATGGCGAAAACTATACATTTGCCCAAAAGTGACTAAGATGGGGTCTATAATTGGTCACGGATTAGACTATAATGGGGTAGGGGCTTTGAGAGGCCAGTGGCACATACCCAGCAAAAATTTACCCAAGTAATCCCCCCGGGCGATGAAGCAATTTATTTTGAGCAGCAAACGACTCAGAAGAATATGTTTCGTTGGAACTTTTGAACGAAACGAGTCATCAAGTTTAGGAGTTTTGGGTCTGTGATCAGCGATCATACCACGTGATTTACTCCAGATCTGGCATGATTGCTCTACCGCCTGGTGCGCATTATTAAGACGTGTTTCATCCCCTTTTAGCAAATGAAACACTTTGCATGGCTGGTTTTAAGTTTCAAGTCTTGTTGTGTGTTCGGTTAATTCAGTCAACTCTCGCCTTGCGGACACCTCGCTATTGCGGACACCCCGCTAATACGGACAACTGCTGAATCAACCCCCGGCTAAAATTACAGACTTTTGACTGAAACAAATCTCGCTATTACGGATTCTCGCTATTACGGACTTACAGACACGTCTCTCAGTCCCGACATCACCATTTTATTGTTCTAACTCTCCTTATAACGGACATCAATCAGCATCTTTCGACATTTTGGCAGAATTATCTCAGATAATAATTCATTTCTTCCTCTTCCTCTCTTCGTCTCTATCACTTTGGTTGAAAAGTGAACATTCCGATTCCCGTTTAACATGATCCTTCCATGAAACTACCGTACTTACTTGCAAAAACAGTCTTGATGTACAAAATGTACAGAAATTGGATTTTCTAGTGCCTTACTTTACGGTTTTTGTGACCTACAAATTTTTCAGTGACTGTTGCGGTGAATGAAAGGGAGATGCAAGTTTTGTTCTGTTACGATTTATCTTGTTTGTAAATAAAGACGTGACGCTGTTTATATGCGAAAACTGCACTGCAATTGGTTCTGGAGACAATGCACAATATTAATAAATCAGTGTAATTCCTCTGATATCAAGAAATTTTTTCTTGCACCCTATTATTACGGAGTGTCGCGATTACGGACACAGAACCGGTCCCGGGGGTGTCCGCAGCAACGAGGGTTGACTCTATATAGATTGTTTCCTATTCTTCAGTTGTCACATACGAACTCGCCACAAGTGTCGATGCCTTAACTTAACGCCGAGTTTGTCGAGACACTAAATTTGATAATTTAAACAATTGTAAAATAAATTTTCAGCGCGCATTTTTGCAGCTTATGCATTATGTTCACCCAGCGGCTCATTCCTGCTTCAGTCGGTGAAAGCGCTAATCTAGAGAGCCGGAAATTAAAATAAATTCTTGCAATGTTAATTCTAAAGTTTCCACAAATCAGGGATAAATTGAATTAAACTTTGACCCAACGATTCTTCTGTATAGTAGAATATTTTAGTAATTCTCAATTATTTGAAATCATAGAAGTTTTTTATATATATATATAATCGGATTATAAAGCTCAAAGTTGTCTTTTTTTGGAAGATCCACGATGGCTTCATGGGTTATACCTCAAGTCTCGTTCCCATGCCTACTTCGGGTGAGAAAAAAAGGAACCTTTTGAACTGCAGGTCCTCGTATATAGCTAGCGAGGAATCAGATAACCTGAAATGTTTTTAACCCCTACATAGCCTAAGTATCAGAAGGCCCAACCCATGAAAGGATTGAACTGACAACCTCTGGTATATTCAACCTTTAGCTTCATCGGTAACATGCCCCGATACCGAGTAATTTCAGAAGGCTGATTAAATCAAACTTTCTTTTAGGTTTGGTTATTCTGTGAAAAAGAGAGAAGAATGGAGTATTCACCTAATTCTCTCCGAAATTCTTAGAAGAAGGGATCCCTGGAGTGGATTTTACAACTAGCTTGTCCCATTATGAAACCTTGCTGGCTATAAGCAGTTCGCGTTCAGGCTAGTGACGGTGGAATCTTCTCTTTTTCGTTGCCACATTTTAACTTTGAGTTAAAAAAGCAATTGAAAATAATAATTTAAAAAATGATTACTAACCTATCAATAACAATCTGTTTGGTGACAAAAACTGATAGAAAAAGAATAATGATTAGGCCGAAAGTTTCGTGTCTATGGCGCGTGTGTAAATCCAGCCGATTTGTTTTTCTTAGATAACTGAAAGATCGAGTGTTATAATTGGAATTTTTCAAGTGGCTTACCATCGTAATGTAATTCCCTTGTAGGGTAAGTGATCACGCAGGATTAGCGTCATCGGCTAGAATAAT